CATTTAAACTCCCAGCTGGCTCTGCTCCAACGCATGTACAAGGATGCGCGAGCAGAGATAAGTGTGCTAAAGGCGGAAAATAAGGAGCTGAAGCGGAAGGCCACCGTTATGTTCCGCTTTGGAGGGCTGCCATATGCTGCAGTGGAGGAGCAGGGAGTAGTGATCATGCCCAGTGGAGTGGGAAACACGGAGGCAACACCGGCAAGGGCCGCCCAGGACGGAGGCAAGAAGAAAAGACCGGCGGCAGAGTAGAGAAGAAAAAATCCCACCTGTGAATGTGGTTGTTTGTTTGTTTGTTTTTTGTAAAATTGTGATCGGGGTTGATCCCTGAGATGAATAAAATATGGTTTGGTGTGCAAAGCTAGATGGTATGAATGGAATTGGAAAAAGATTAAAAATAAGGTGAAAGAAAAATAAAGAAAGAAATAATACAAATATATTTGAAATCAAAAATGAAAGATGGGGGAAATAAGGAAAGTGGTTTGGAGAAAATAAATAAATAAAAATAATGGAGTTTGAAATCAAACGGAGGAGAGATGATGATGTTTTTTTATTTTTTTTTTTTTTTTGAGGAAGAAGGAATATATTTATGTTATATTCAAAACTTCATTCCTATGCTTTTTGTGCAAACTTCTGCTTGGGAGCATTGTGGATTTCATTCCATGAACTAGTGCTTGCATTTTCCTCTCCAATTTTGCTTCCTTAAGAATTCCTCTCTCCTAAAAAATCATCAGTTCTATTAGATGTGACAAGCAAGAACATATTTTTTTTGTACATATTTAATTTGGGAAAGGCACGGCTTACATCAGTCCTTAGCCTGAAAGGCTTGGGATTTGTGGGTTTTGGTTTTTTATACTTCACCCCTTGAGCACCAGTGGCATCTACAGTGAGCCCTTCTTTCAAATTTTTGTCCTGTGTTTGGTTAACCTACATTAATTTCAAAAGTATAAGAAAATCAAAATAATGAGATGATGCAACCATCTAATATGAAACAGAAAATTATATGTGATAAAGTTCTTGTTATTCTAAAACACAAGAGAAAGAAATAGAACCTTTTTAGTAATTTCATTTGTCTCCTGCTTGCGAAATATTTTTTTCCCAGAACTAGCCTCACACCTGTTACCATCAGAGACCAAAGCATTTTCTTTGTCATCACCATAGGCATTTTCTTTGTCATCGCTGTCCACTGCTTCACCTTCATGTCCTATTACTCCTAAATTTTCAGATTCCGTGTTGTGGTCTTCTGGGCCTTCTCTCTTCTCTGAACTTGCTTTTGTTTTTCTTTCCTTGTCAATTCCTTCACTGCTTTCATTGCCCCCTTCAGAGTTTTCTTCAAATTTGAGGAAATCATTTTCTTCCAAACTCCCTTCTTTAGAGTTTGATGAGGTGTTCATTTCGCTTTTTGAGGCATCTAACAACACCATGTCTGAATTCTTTGTTAGTGGCACTACCTCTAAGCAAGTAACGACTTCTTCTCGAGTAGAAGTTATGGTATACAAATTTCCTGATGTTTTTTCAGTTGACAACCATTCCTCACATACATTTGCTTCAGTAATCCTTGAACTACCTAATACCGAGCTATCCCTTGATTTCATGTCAATCTCCATGCCAATTAAGTCATTTTCAACTGTTTCCCTGGGCATAGAGTTGAAAGGCTTATTTCCCTTCTCCTTGCAATTTGGAGGCCCAAACAATTCCTTGGCCTTGCTTTTGTCCTTGTAGGCACTTAGTTTTCTTCTTGATGGATTCAAAGGCAATGATTTGTTAGGATCACGTCTAATGTCCTTTGATGACTTGTTAGAATACCCCAATATACCCTTCCTTTGACAGCTTATCCCAAGCCTCTTCATCCCTTCACAAATCTTTGTTAAAGGAGTACACAATTCCGATGAAGTTTTTATGCTGATGACTTTCTTTGGGGACTGGAAGACCAAAGCCTTTGCTACTGTTCTATTATTTGGTTCTGCAATGCTTGTTGGCTTTGGGTTCTGAACACTTCGAAAGGAGTTTGGACTCGGAAGGCAATTTTTGTTCCCAGGAGTAGTTAAGTACTTGGCTGCAACTTGCTTGACCTTGGGATTTGGGGTTGAACTAAGCTTGGAAAGAGGCTTAACTTTCCCTCTGGCATCAACCATTTCCTGAGAAAATGAAGAAATCACTGCCAATCTTGATATTCCAGACTTTGAAGGTTTTGCTGGAACTGAAAGTGGGCATTTCTCATTCACACTAAAAGATCAAGTAAAGTGTTAATTGAAAATTAAAATTACATAGACCACAGGAAAAAAAATGACAAAAATTCTAATTCATCCATTTAAAAGCTTTTTTTTAGTACCTAGAAGCCTTTTTGTTTAGTGCTTTGTGAGGATATTGGGACTCCTGGCTGCCATGACCTGTTTGAATCAATGTGTCAAATGTTGTTCCAACCCACATGCTTGCAAAACCATGCATGTAAAACCATGCAAAGGAGAGAGTCAGAGAACATGGCGTGAGAAGACTTCCACCTCGAGAGAAGGAGGTCTGAGTTGGGCATCTGGAAGATTGTCTCTCCCTTCTCTTCCCGTTGTTGTCTTTGTTGATTTTTACCATTGCTATTAAAGAGGGTAGAAATTTTTTGGTGAGTTGGTTTGTCTCCTCTCTCTCTCTCATTCTCTTTGTGTATAAATAAAGACGGAAGGGAGAGGGTGATTTGTATCAGAAATTGGAGAGTGAGAGCTGTGAGTTGAGTGAGTTTCATCTTCTCCTCTGTATTTGTATTATGCTCTATTTTAGTGAAAAATCCTCATTTCTGTCCGTGGATGTAGGCATTGGGCCGAACCACGTAAATATTGTGTTCTTTGTGTGTGTGAAACAATTTTTCTGGGTGTGTTTGATCCTAACATCAAACTCTAGATTATAACCTTTCAACTACACCATTTAACAAAAAGGACAACATATAACCAACCCGAAGAACAAAGTTTTTGGAAATTGCTTCAGGGTCGATTTCCTCTTCATGCTTTTGATCACATCCTGAGACATAATTGAATAGGCGAGTCACACAAGGTATTAAAGATTGTTTATTTGGAAAATACTAGATGCATATCCAAGCCAACGGTTGATATTTTCGGACTACAGAGAACATATAGAGGGTAATTGGCACATTTTAGCTTGAAAATCCAAATTTTATATAATGAAGGAAATGCAACAAGAAAGATCAAACATTGTAACTTTTACACATACAAACCACAAGAAAAAATGGGTAATCAGACCTATCCATACGCTTTTGGAATAATATGTGTGTGTGTGTGTGTCTCTAGATCTAGAGCAGAAAAGTAAAGCTATAGCCTTTAAAAGATGCAACACCTCATTAACAAATTTCCCTCTTTCTTCAATTTTCTCGGCAACCAAATAGAGTCTACTAAATTTAAAAAATGAAAAAATAAAAAGAAAAAGAAAAAAAGAGAGTTTAAAAAATAAAGGCCTTGTTTGGTTTGTGTTTCTCAAAAAGTTTTGGGAAAAATTCTCTACAAATAAGTTTTCAAAAGTAATCAAACCAAACAAATTTTTCCAAAAAAAAATTTCAAAACTTGTTTGGTTTACAAGTTTTCCAAACAAATCTCTCTCTCATACACATCAAATCAATCGCTTTTTTCAAAACTCTCTCTCAAAATAATTTTTCAAAACATCTTTTGAAAAAAAACCAAACCAAACTAATTTTTGTACTTTTTATCTCAAAACATGTTTCTCAAATACAAACCAAACAAGCCCAAAAAGTTCAAAGGTGATGAGAACCAGGTTAATTTAAATAAGAATTTGGAAAGGAGAAAGGAAAAAAGAAAAAAATGTAAAATACAACCTAAATTTATCCATGATTAACAAAAGCTCAAATTCATAACCCTGGTGCAGATTGGTAAGGGAAAGTGAAAATCAAAGAAAAAGAAAGCCCATTTCTTTTAAGGAGGAGGGGGACTGTTTGGACTTATGGGGCCACTACGGGTCCCGTTTCGATAATTCGAACCATTCATTTTGTCGAGCATTTCATGTATTTTATCAACAACAAAAAAAAAAAAAAGATTAATCTAATAATTACAACTTGTTCAATTTATTATTTTTTTATCAAAAAAAATGTATGGTTCATTTTTAAAAACACAATTGTCATTCATTTTTTTAGTAAAAACACGGTAAATTAAACAAGTTTCAATTATCTTATCAACCTAATTTTTTTGTGAATAAAATATACGAAGTGTCTAACAAAATGAATGATTCAGATTATTGAAATGGGCTCCCCCAAACAGCCCCTCTAATACAGATTTTGGAAGGGAGGGAATCCTCATATTCAGATAAAAGCAGAGCTAACTAAACAAAAGAATGATTAACTAAACAAACAAACTAATCAGTAGACAAGAAAAGCAGAGCTGTGACATAGATTAGTACATACACACATGAATCAAAATCAAACCCTCAAGAAGAAAAACACAAAGTAAAAAATAAACAAATAAGCAAAATCAGGAAATCAAGTGAATGATGTGGGTGGGGATGAGGAAACAAACACGTACCGACACGCAAACAGAACCAGTAACGATCGTCGGGAGGATAGGGATCGGAGGAGGCTGTGAAGTCCACGAACTTGGGCGCTTCGATCTTCTCGTATAACTCATCCTCCTCCTCCCCACCACCTCCATCTTCTTCAATATTGATGATCGACAAGTGGGGTTTCTCCTCCATTTCTTCCGATGAGAGAGAGAGAGAGAGAATTTTAAACACCTGACAAAGTTCTCTGTAAGCAGCTGTTACAAAGTTCTCTTATCTTCAGAAGGAAGTTGCAGATAACGGAATCCAGGGGCATATCTGTCATTTCACTTTTCCCTAAAGCTAAAGGAATTGATGCTTCCCCTGTTTATTATTGCTGGCTTTTGTCATTTGAAACACAAGTATGCAATTAGGGCTGTAAGCAACCCATGAGTTTTGATTTAACAATTTATGGAGTTTTAGGCCAAGTTTGAGAAGACTAAAAAAGTGTATTTTTTGTCTTTTTGGACTAAAAAATTGAGGTTGAAAATATGGATGTTTGGGTTAACTTTTTGACTTTTTATTGAAAAATGTGTAATAAAAAATTGTAAAAATTGATTTTAAAAAATTGTAAAAATTGGTTTGTAGGGGAAAATTAGGATTGGGAGTTGTGCAGCCGTAATTGTTGACTTTTGGTGAATAGTGTTAACTTTTTAACTTTTTGAGTAACTTTTTGACTTTTTGACTTTTTTGGAAGTACCCAAACTTGGCGTTATTTTTGATTTTAGTGAATTTTTAAAAAAAAATTAAAAATTTTTAGGCTTCGAAATTTCAACTCGACGATACGAAAAATTAAAAAAAGTTCAAAAATAAGCGAAAAATTGTTGACTTTTTTGGCTTATTTTGATTTTTCAACTTTTTTTGGAATTTTTCCAAAAAAAAAATGATTTTTTGCATTCATCTACCCAAGACTAACTAGAAAAGTAAAATATTTTAACATAATTTTGAAAAAAAATCACTAAAAAATGACTTTTTTAGGTATTTCCAAACAACCATTAAAATATATTTAAACTTAGTTTATTCAAACGAGATGTAACTAATTTAAACACAAATTAAATTATAGTAGTTTATTTCTTGTATAATTCTCCCATATTCAAAATCATGTGGATAGTTAGTTACAATTGTGAGACACAAACAATCACTGGTATTCAACCTTGTTTGGCAACAGACTTTTTTAGTAACTTTTTATCTTTTTGGCTAAAATATACTGTAAAAAAAACTTGTATGTTTGAAATAACTTTTTCATTTTTTATGAAAAGATGTGCAAAAAGTAGAGAGAAAATGGAATCTTTAACTTTTTTTTTTATATAAATTGTTGGTTTTTTGATTTTTTTAGTGACTTTTAAGCTAAAAAGTGATGTTACTAAACGAGACACAATTATGTGATAAATAATAAATTGTTTGATCAATTTTTGCTTAGGTTTTTATTCAATTAAAATATACATGACATTGTAAAAACAAAAAATTTAATTTGCTTTCTTAAGTTGTCTTTTGGTAACACTTTTTTTACCCTTTCAAGCTATCACACATCACTTAAAACTCTCCTAAACTATTAAATTTAACAACTAATAACTTAATGAACCACAATATGTCATTAATATACATATTAGTAGTTATAGTGAGATTCACTCATTCCATGTATTAATTTATCATTCGATGATAATATTACGTGCTAATAATAATATAATATCACCGTTACATGTTGAATTTTGACCCTAATTTGTAGTTGGAAGTCATTGCATTACACGTGAAACGGTTTTTGCAATTCATTTTTATGCCAACAGGTGGGATAGACTTCAATACAATCACCCTCTCAATTTTTACATTCATTTTTATGTAAGTTTCATATGTAGCATTGCTCTGTTTTTGTTGATTAACAGCAATATGAAAACTCGGTTTTCATATCTTATTATTGAACCCTAACTATTATGACAGGTAACTAAACCTCTTGCTGCTGATTTTCATATTTGGTTCCAACTTGAATTTAGAGTTTCAATTTAACAAGAAATCAATGTTAAGGATTTATATTCATCTTGATTTTTCAGGCACGACACCACCAGTCTAATGGGCAAAGTAGATGAAATGAAACATTAGTTGATGAATTAACATATTTCTTATCGTGAAAAATAAAAAAAAAATCAAGTCAACAAATTTAAATTATATAAACTCAAACATACTAAAGATTACTGAAAATCATAGTCAAGATTGTTGTATTTTTCAGTCAAAAAAAAGATTATTGTATTTTGTTTTTTTCCTTTTCATTTTTTCTTTAGTAATATTACAAACTCAGACATAATTATCCAAAAATTATCCAAAATTATCATCTTATAATTCAGATTTATTCTACACAAAGACCTTATACTATACACATTTAATCTCTACTACACATCTACTCACCTAGAAAATTCTAGGTGAATATGTCTGGTTTCAGACTTTTCCATTTCATTACGATTACAAATGAAATTGGAAACAATACTACAAAGAGTCCAACCGAGAATTCAAGAGAGAGATCATTAGATTGACTTCTGCACCCACCTCCTGGATTTTCTTCTTTTCTCTCCTTTGATGTTTCCCTCCCTGTTTTGCAATCTCGACTTGTTTTCCTCGATCAATAAAAATAAATAAATAAAAATGAAGAAAATGAAAAATCATCAGTTCAGTAAATGAACATAATTTTGACTGTGTTTGCCAAAATTAGTTGAGTTGGGTCTCAAGGACAAGCAACAAACTTTTTGGGACTATTTGGAAAGAAATTTTTTTTATTTTTTTTTGGGGCTAAAATAGCACTAAAACACAAAATAGGCTAAAATAGTCAATAAGACAAAATGTCACATCAAATCCACAATCATTTTACTTTTTATCTCACAAACATCACATCCAATTACAAAAAAATCCAACTTTCTTCCCAAATACAAAAATTTTAGCATTCTAAGCCTCCGTTTGGAAAGTGGGTTGGCTTTTTGACTTTTTGGCTATTTTAGCCTGGACTAAAAAGTCTGGTTTGGGAAGAACTTTTTGACTTTTTTGATGTTTTGGCTTTTTGGTGAGGTGTCTTCCTGTCAAATTACCAAACTGCCCTTCATCCACGTTTACATGTCAACTCATTGAAAGTGGTCCTCCACGTCAGCCTCCATTTGGACCGAATTTTTTTAATTTAATTTAATTTAATTTTTTATTTTGGGTTTGGATTTGGTGTATTTTCATGTTTTTTTTTTGTTTTTTAAATTTATGTTTTTGTCATTTTTTTTTATACATTAATTAGTTCTTGTTCTTTAATTTTCGTTTTTTGCCTTATTTATTTTTATTGGTGTACAATAACTTTTTTTTATTTTTCAAAAATAAGTTTTCATGTGTTTTATTTATTTGTAAATTACGTGGCGAATGGTAATT